GAGTCTTCGTTTAGGATTGAGGAGAACTTGATTATGTACCAATTTCTAGTTATAGAATATTGTAAACTGATTACAAGTTCATGCAAATAATACTAATTACATGTTTTTTTTGGTAGACAACTTTAACATTATTCAGGAAAGTGTGAATCAACTTATTTCAGTAGTTAAAAAAAATTGATGTTGTTTTTAGAGATCATGGGTTCGAGCACCAACAACTGTAATAAACTGAGTGAACATTCATTGTCACATGATATAGAGTATTTAAACTAGATATTACTTTATAACCATCTTAGCTTGATAAAAAAAAGGGTTAACTACACAGATGATCACTTATGTTTGTGTTTTGTCCACTTTTGGTCATTGATTTCAAAAAACATAAGATATGATCACTTTCGTTTTTATTTAATTAAGATGTGGTCACCCCGAGTTAACTGTCCTTAAAAGAAGTTAAATATTTTGATATAATCACATATTTAGTCACTGTTATTTACATATTCTCTCGATTTAGTCATACTTTTAATAAATTAAAATAAATTTAATCCTCCAATCGAATAATGACACATGTCATTTCACGTAGGGGTGTTCAAAAGTATCCTACATGATTGACCCGACCCAATCAAAAAATACCAGGTATTTATAATAAAAATACTCGATTTTTCAGGTTGGGTACCCGACCCACTATTTTTTTCAGGTTTATAGGTCGGGCGTGGATTACAACATGTTGGTTAACCAAGTACCCGCCGACCCGATACCCAATTTATTATATTGTTTTCATTTCTATTTTTATTAAGTTTTTTATTCATAACTCTCAAATTATTTCACTATAACATTCTAAAATCCTAATTTCTTAAATTTTGACACCATAACGTTCTAAATTCTTAATTTATTAAATTATTTCACATTAGCGTTCTAAATTATTTTTAAAATATTTATTTTAACTTCAAAACATTTGAAATTTAATTATATTTCTTTATTTTAAATTTTAAATAAATTGTATTTTCAATTATATAATTTGAATTTTTAAAATTTATGTGTGGATTATATGTAAATTATATATATTATAGATTTTTAAATTTTAGAATTTTAAATTTTTTATATAATTTTTTAAAATAATATAATTTAAAGAAAAATAAAAAAAATTATGAATCGGATAACCGTGACCCAGATTATATATATAAAATTATATATATTAATTTAAAACATTTTATATTAATTTATTAAATATATTTTATTATTAACTTAATTTAAAAATATTTTATGTTTATTTTCATTTAAAAATATTTTTTATTTTAATTTATTAAAAGTATGACTAAATTGAGAGAATGTATAAATAATAGGGATCAAATGTGTTATTATATCAAAATATTTAACTGCTGTTAACGATAATTAACCTGGAGTGATCACATCTTAATTAATAAAAACGAAAGTGATAATATCTTATATTTTTTAAATCAGTAATAAAAATGGAAAAAAAAAATAAGTGTTGATTTGTGTAGTTAACAAAAAAAAAAATATTATCCAGGGAAAAGTTCACTTGTTTGAAACAATATTATAAGATATTTACAATAGACGCACGGAAAGAACAAAATGGCAAAGGACATGAGTGGAGAAAACAGGCTATAAAGAAGAAACCCAACCCCATTTGTTTTGCTCTTTCGCTGCAATTTGAGCCATCTGCCTCTCATGTGCCCTATAATATATATCTAATATAGGGTTAATTTCACACGTTCTCAAAAAGTTATTTATACTCTAAAATTATTATTATTTTTGTTACACTCTCTAAAATTATTTTAGAACTTTAAAATCTTTATTGAATATTTGATCTATATTAATTTAAGTTTTAGTTGATAACATAAATGCAATACGTTTTATATTTGAAATTTTGATTAAATTACGTATATATATTAACATTACATATATAACAACAAGTTAGTTTAGTAGGTTGAGGTATTAGATCAGGAGTTGAAATATTAACGATTCTAAATGGAGTAAATTGAGTTTGAGAGGGTAGTCATCTAAGGGAGGTTTTGTTCTATATTTGTGCCGTGAAACCGCCTCTTCCTCATGAGGGTGAGGATCGGCCAGGGTGGCTTTGGGAACGTCATAGAAAATGCTCAGTTTCGAGTGCTTATAAACACATTGTTCAGTTGCAGCAACCACATCCGGGTGAAAATGAAGTTTGGAAGACGATCTGGAGCTACAAAGGTCCGCCGAGGGTTCGTAATCTCCTTTGGTTAATTTGTAAAGGTCGCCTGATGACTAACGAGGAACGACTGAGACGTCATATGACAAATGACTCTAGTTGTGGGAGTTGTGGGTCGGTTAATGAATCTCTCTCGCATTTGTTTCGAGAATGTATGGAGGCTCGGATGGTGTGGGATGGGCTCATTAGACCGGAATAAGCAGGAGTTTTTTTATATGAATATGGTCGATTGGGTTGTCACGAATCTTAATCGGCCGAACTGGTTTCCGATTGCACCGGATGGTTGAGAACTTTTGTTTAGTTCAGTTATCTGGTGTTTATGGATGAGGAATCAGCGTATTTTCTCGCCAAAGATAAGTGGCTCGGAAAGCGTTTTCATCAGACTATGCTATTAGTGAGAGATGAGGAGGAAGCTCGGAAGCTGTTGATAACTAGGACCTCTCTTACAGGTCCCCTTCGACGTGATATTCGGTGGCAACCACCGAATCCGGGTTGATAATTCGAAACGCTGAGGGTGTTTGGATTGGTGGGTTTGCGAGGAATATTGGAGCTTCTTCAGTGTTCGAAGCTGAGTGGGGTGTGTTGGATGGGCTGTTACTGGCATGGGACTGTGGTTTGAGGGAGGTTATCGTCGAGCTGGACAGTAGAGAAGCAAAGTGCAGCTATGGAGAGGGTATCCTCGTTGTTTCCTCATCTGGTGGAGTGCATGGCACGTAGCTGGCGACTGCAATTTTTTCACGTCGTCCGGGAAGGTAATCAAGCAGCCGATCACATGGCGAAGCTTGCTTGGGGTTGGAAGTATGGCTTGAAGGTTTTCACGACTCCGCCAACTGAGGTTCTGGCTATAGTGCAGGATGATTGCCGGGTTGAGGCTTAGCTTTTGAGAATCTCTTTTCATTCAAAAATTTGAATTGAAATTCAAGAAAGGTAACATGTTAATGAAATTAAATGTATTGATTCTAATGGTCAAAATTCTTATAAACGAAAAGTACAAGAAGATAGTTTTATGGCGTAGGAAGGTACTCTTAAAGAGACCCAAGACCTAAATAATAATATTGTGTAAAGTAGTATTGATAGTCGAAGAGTATCGATATTAATTTTGTATTTTAGAATTTGAACACCTTTGAAACAACATGTAGCATCGATACTATTAAGAGTATATCAATACTTCTATTACATGTGGTATCAATACCTCAAGAACAGTATTGGTATTGTTCATGTGGTATTGATACTGTAAGAACAATATCAATACTACTTACTTAAAAAATTGTTTTGTGTTCAAAATCAAGTTTTTGGATTTTGAATTGTTTTTGAAATCTTTTAATAAATTCAATTAAGTTCAAAATATTTTACCCTTAATTTGTTATATCAAATAAATTTTCACCACTTAGAAATATTGAACAAATACAAAATGAAATTTTAATTATAAATGAGGGGCTAAAAGAGATCCCCCGTTAATTTAATTTAGTAACAATAGACGATGCTGTACTCATTTTGTAACAAAATTCAAAATAAAGTTCAATATCCAAAAATAATTTTTAACAATTTAATCATCATCATAAATTTTATCTTACAATATTAATGGTGCATATATGTGTGTAACATCTATTCTGAATTTTTTTTATTTTGAAATAAATACATAAAGGCAAAATTTGATTCATAATATTACGAACATAGTGAGAATTAGACTATATAAAAACATATAAATAGATTAATAAAAGAATGATAGAGAGTATTTAAAATAAGGTTAAACTATGTATTTAGTACTTAAATTATCAGTTTTAGTTTGTTTTAGTAACTAAGTTTTCAATTTTTTCAAAATCATACATAACGTTTAATTTTTATTTCATTTTAGTACCACACCGTTAAAAAGTTAATGTGTTTAGTACCTAAACTATCAATTTTGGTCAGTTTTAGTACCTGAACTTCCAAATTTTTTTCAAAACTTAACACAAAATTCTGATTGTGGGCACTAAATGAAACAAAAATTAAACTTTAGGTATAATTTGAAAAACATTAAAAGTTTAAGTACTAAAACGGACCAAAACTGATAATTTTGTACTAAATACATAATTTACTCTTAAAATAAATACGTTCTTGTCTGCGCCTGACGCCATTAGACCAAGAGTTGATATCAGGGGACCCTCTTATGCTAAGCTTGTAACCACCTAATACGCTTTGCCTATCTTTTTCTATTCATAAAAAAAAAACAATAAAGATAATATTAATCTTTATATCGCATGAAATATTGTATAAAAGATTCTTTTTTCTTTTATAAATTTTGATTTTATATTCATTATAATATTTTTGAACAATTTTTATTATGACATTTTAATAATTCTCTATAGATAAAATTACATATTTATTAAAGTAATAAATTATAACACCAAAATTAGTTGGTCTAATGTGATGAGCTACTAGATCGCTTCAGTAAGGTCAGAGGTTTAAATTCGGACGATTGCGAAAGGAGCAAATTGAGTTGGAAGGGTCGTCATTGCTTCTACAGTACCCAATCTAAATTAGTCGTTGGTTATACCAAAATATATATTATAACAAAATACGAATCCATCAAAGTAATTTTAATAATAAAAATATTTTTTTTTAAATTAAGTTATAACAACTAAATCTACTAATCGCCTTAAATTATTTAAAAAAAAGTCTAATTTGTGGTGCCCTAAAATAGATACAATTTGGGCAACATAATCTCACCAATCATCTGCTATAAAAAGGGCTCAACCATCTGCAACAACCCACGAGACAAGCCTTTTACCTTGTAGAAAAGCAAAGGCAGATTAACATGTCGTGTCCAACAATCAGTGCCGCCACCACCACCCATCTAACAAACGGTGTTACTTCTGTCGACTGCCAGAAACAAGTCCGGTCATGGAGGCTTCTCCGTTCCCTTATGGAACTCCTCCTGCCAAGCTGCAACCGCGCCTTCATCGATGAACGCTGTGAAATCAATCCACCGCCTGTATCTACCTCTAGCGTTATTACAGGCACCATCTTTGGTTATCGTAGAGGAAAAGCCAGCTTTTGTATCCAAGCAAACCACAAGTCCAAAAACGATCCGATTCTCCTTGAATTCGGAATCACCACGGCGGCTTTGGCAAGGGAAATGCGAGGCGGTATCCTCCGAGTCGCGCTGGAGTGCACCACTTCAGGCATTTCAGAGTCGGTTCTGTCGACGCCGCTGTGGACTATGTACTGTAATGGAAGGAAAGTAGGGTTCGCGATGAAGCGGAAGCCATCGAAAGCTGATATGGATGCTTTAAGGCTAATGAGTTCAGTAGTTGTTGGAGCTGGATTGATCAGTGGAAAGGAACTTGATCATCATCATGACGATGAACTTATGTACCTGAGGGCCAATTTTGAAAGTGTTCGTGGTTCAGTTGATTCTGAATCTTTCCATTTGATTGATCCCGATGGAAATATTGGTCAAGAGCTCAGTATTTCTTTTACCGACCAAGTGACCTTGGGTGATGCTTTCCCATTTCCATTTTCAAGCTTAGCAACCTGTGTGTTTTTTTTTTGTAGTTTGCCCCCCCCCCCCCGTTTTTTGAGCTATGCAAATTAGCATAAGCTTTTACAAATTACAACCCTTTGTATCTGATAAATGATGTATGATTGTATGGGGCGCCGACTGTGTGAAAACCAGATGTTCTTTTTCTTTACATGGAAATGAAACTGATTTGCTATATTTTTAGCATGAGGATTCAATATTTTGGATGGTCTGAGTGGAATCATCAATCTGTCAAGTACATGGTGTTAACATCAAAGATTCAAGACAGCGAAGGCGCATTTTAATTTCAGAAGAGAAAAATGACCGAGGGCAAGGCTGTCCCCATTTTGGCTGATGCCCAAATGACCGACACTCGACAGTGCCATGCAGATCTCGATCTCAATACGCAAATCTGGGAAAACATTACTTAACTGTGTCCCAAAATTAATAACTGTTATATCTCCGGAGAAGATCGATTCACTTGAAGTTATCAAATCTTTTCAATAAAGATTCGTAGAGGATTATACCCTATGGGGAGAGTCTCTGAAATTTTTCTGAAGATATACACCATCTCTAAAACCACCTTTTATCACGATTATTCTCCTAAGTTCATATTCTTTAGTCTTTTAATCAAATCTAGTAGTTGGCAACCATATTTGCACAATTTATTAACCTATTAATAGGCATGATGACTTGAATCTGACACTACCCTATAATCAGATAGTTATACCTCAAGGAAAGACTGAAATAAGGGATCTCTTGCTCTCTTCCATTTTTTCACCTCGGATCTAGAGTAATATTCTCTCATATCATTTTTTCCTCTTTTCTCTCACCAAAAAAAAAAGTATCTATTGATGAAAGGACGGAACAAAATTGATGTTGGGAGTGGCTGTAGCCCCCCAACCTGGTAGAGAACTTTTTTATATATGTATATAAAATTTAAATATTTATGAAATAATTATAAATTATCCTTCTTACTTTAAAAAAAATTATACTGTCTCTCCTAAGAGTTAATGGTCGCATTTGTACTAATTATTGTAATTCTCCGCTAGAACTAGAAGGGATGTGTCATCAACCGCGGACACAATTTATTTTGTTCATCAACAATAACATTACTATCCTCACCCACGGCTTGGGTCCAATGCTTCATTAAATTATATATATATTATGTCACAACAACGTGTTTCATACAATTAGGGATGTAAAAGGTTGACCTGAACTATAAAACTGACTCAAGTCAAAATTATTTGTGACCTGAGCGGTGGTGACTCGAAACCGACTCGAGTCCTAACTAGTGTTGACCTGAACCCGAGTTAGACTTCGAAATTATGGATCTGAACCTGAACTGCACCCGGTCTGAGAATGACCTGAACCTGAATTAAACCGATAATATGATAACCGAACCTGACTTGCAACCGATTGATATGAACCCGGACCCAAGATTAACCTGATAAATAACTGGTATTACCCGATCTGTTATCAACCTAACATGTTATGAATTTGACATGTAATTGACTCAACTTGTAAATAATACGACTTGTTATTGACTTAATCTGATATTTACCTAACTTGTAAGTTACAATTGATGAAGTTGTGAGATTTTGAATTTATAACACTACTAGAAAAAATCCCTTTAATGATGCGCATTGCGCGTCATCTATGGGTGCAGATGACACACATTTGCCTGTCATTGAAGGCAGTGACATGAATTTCATATGACGCGCAACTGTGCGACATAAATTTACGACGCGCATTTATGACACACATTTATGACGCGCATTTATGACGCTCATTGCGCGTCATTGAAGCCCCCGTTATAAATGAAGACGACACACATTTGTGTGTCAAAAATTTATGACACGCATTTATGACTTACATTGCGTGACATTGAAACCCCCGTCATAAATGAAGATGACACACATTGTGTGTCAAAGAGTATATGCACTCAGTTGCTTTCCCATAATTATCAGTATAAATAAAAGAAATTAAACACATTTTAGTTAAACAGAATCAACATAACATAAGAAACATAATAATTGTGGGAATTTACAATGTAAAAGGGACAATCCAACCAACTGATAGTTGCAAATCAAAGAAAGCCATATGGCTTCAAATTAGATCGTCATTGTTCTTATACTCTTGGAACATAGAAACATGGTCCAATATTTTACAATAAAAATATGATGACTAAATAGAACAGAACATGGTACCATTTAGCTTGAAGGATTTTGTTACTACATCAATTCTCATGTTTCTGGGAGTGAAGAAACCTAGAATCTTTCTTATCTTCTCCTCATCCCATAACTCATAGACATAGTCTCCAAAGATATCATGTTCTGGTGGATAAACAAGCAAATTTTCTACAACAAAGAAACAAAAGGAATAGTTAATGGAATGCAGCAACAAATACCAGAAATACCAGAAGAAGATATTACATTTGTGCTTTAGTACACATGACAAAACATATACAACATCATGGTTTAAGCAGCAAAAAAAATTCTCAATGAATAAACCAGAAACTAAGATATAAGCTTTGTTTATCTCTTATATGGTTCTAAACAAGAAGGGAATAGTAGCAATCATATTAATTTCAGGGTATTAAAATCTTATATCAACATAATAGTAGTATTAGTAGTAGTTAAGCATATTGAATAAACTTGAGAGGTTAAGCATTGGAAATTGAAGCAAATGAAAAACACTATCTACATTCCACAGACTAATCAAGAATCACTTATCATTTATAAGGGAAGAGAGTGCAAATATTGTGGAACTACTACAGAAAAGAGAAGAGAAAATCCCACAGAAAGGATAAAATTTGTGGAATATATAAATATCAAAAGACTACTAATATGCAACCTAAAAACAATGTACTGATTAATTAGTAATCACATCCTAGCAAAAGCATACTGAACAGTCGATGATGAAAATGGATTACATCTTTGAACGAAAAAACTTGAAAAAGGCTAGAATTAGAAAGAATGAGATGACGTTCTTGCATTTAATTATTCTGGTTCTGTGGTGGCATCCATTAACAACAAACAATATAAAAAGTTCCTGAGCAACCCTTTAAGTCTTTGTCAAGGGTGTACCAACCATAGAAAATCTAAGATATGCATGTTAGAGTTCAATTTGCCAAAGTTGAGTAACAAACACTAGAAAGATAAAATAAAAGTGGCTTCTATTACTGCCAGTTCAACCAAAAGTGATTTCAATCACAACAGATATTAAATGTGGACAGAAAAAAAGGATCAATAAAGATATAACATACCTCGTAATCTTCAAACTCAAAACTTTCAATGACAACAACACTTGCTACATGATTAAGAGGGGGACGAAGCAGCCCTTGAGCTTCTTCAGCTCTATAAAGTCTTCATTATGAATTCTTAGACGCTTACTCTTTGAACCTAGCATGCTATTCTTCCTCTTTCAAACTGCATACCGAAATGCATATATAATGTCCTATAGTGAAAAGAAAACCCAAAGAAATCATATACAAATGCAAGTCCATGAAAATATTTCACCTTCACAGATTGCAAGTAGCTCGTGAAGATGTTCCCTGTTTCTTAGAGTCGCCTCAGTTAGTTTCTCCATAATGGTTCCCCTTTGTTGAGTGAAAACAATGCCGTAAAAAACTTACACTCGTGCAAAACGATTACTGGGAAGCATAAAGAAGGGAGAAATCTGTTACCTTTGGATCATCTAGCACTCTTAGTGGGTAGCTATCAGGGCTAAGGAGGTCTCTCACGGCTTCATTGTATATTTCCATGGCACATAATTTCACCAAAAAGTCTCTTTCCCCATTCTAACATATTGATCAAAACAGAATGTCATCTATATATATATTCTACACTCCCAAGAAACAGAAGCGGTAGATTTCAAATATAATATATATGAGAAAAAGTAGTCCTGAGTCTATAGTTACGTTCTCGATGTAGTCGATACTGCATATTCAGTGATACTCCTCATTGTATACGTCTTTCCACTGCTTGTTTTCCCATATGCAAATATGCTTGCTGAAGGAAAAACAAAGCACAATGATTAGAGACATTTTCTCTGGATTATATAGTTATAGACACAACGAACAGGAAACAAAAAATACTTACAATTGATTCCCTCGAGTACTGAGAGCGCAATATGTTTGGCTCCTTCCTCGTACACTTGAGCTGTATCGCATTCACTGTCAAATACTATGTCTGTTTGCAACAAAATTGACAAAGCAAAGAAAAGAATACAGTGATTAGAAGACGATCTCAATTCTCAAATGGGCAAAGTGAAAATAGAAGCAAGTGAATTTGGAAATGTTTACCAAATGTGTAGGCTGTAGGGAACACAGAGCGTTCCGGCAAACTATGCTTGAAAACGATGGTGTGATTGTTAGGGCATTCCCAATCACATATACGATTCCTTGCTTTATCATTCAGTGGCTTTAATCTAATGGAAACCTAATCAGATGTTGAAGCAGTTGAAGCCTTTCTGAAACACATGATCAACTTCCCTTCAGGCTCTAACCGACTAAATGTTACTGCAGAAACAACATAACTATGAGTTTCAAAATAGATGCAAGTATAAAATGATAATGCATGATCATAGAGAGAAAAAAGCCACGGGAAGGTAAGAAAGATAAAACAAATGCACGAGAGTGTGAAACAGAACTATAAGGTGGAAGCCAGAGTTTAAGCCGATTATGGAGATGCTTCCAAGTAAAGGGAAAAAATAAGCGGGAAAGGATGAAAATAAGGGGGAATTAAAAGACAATTTTTATAGATGACACACAATTAAAAAGTGTACTCCGTGTGAAAAGTTTTTTAATTACACAATTAAAAGACAAAATTTTAAAATATACATATAAAAATAATTTATTTAATTATATATATATATATATATATATATATATATATATTCAAAATGAGTGGTGGGAGAAAGCTTTTTAAAAGAAATATTTTTTTGTGTGAAAAGTTTGATTTTATTTGAAAATTTAGAGGGAAATTGAGAAATTTTGGGACCAGAGGGAAATTGATAATTTAGATGGAAATTTTGGGAAGTTGGAAATTAAGAATTTAGAGGGAAATTGATTTTTTTTTTTTGGAAATAATGAAAATTAGAATTTAATGGGAAATTGAGAAATATATATACATCATACATTAAATTAATGGGAAATTGGGATATATATATATATATATATATATATATATATATATATATATATATATATATATATATATATTGTATGCATAAGTATATTGTACCTTATATATATACATGTATTATATTATCATAACATTCATCTTATATATTATATTAATATATATTATAGTTGTTTGAATTTTTTCTCAACTTTTGAAATGAATGCAATTCAATCTATTTTACAATTTTTCTTCACATTCTATAATTATTTGATTTGATCCCACTGTGTTGTTTAATTTATTTAAATTTTAATTTGTAATTTCATATTTGTTCAATTTGAATGAAATTGACCCATACTTATTTATATTTTTGTAATTTACTTTATACCCAATAAATCATATAATAAACTACATTTCAAATTTTATAAATTATATTATAGTCTCCAAACCCTATAAACTTTTGTTCACCAACTTTTTAAATGGATACAATTTAGTCTAATTTTATATTAATTTCAACTTCACATTTTAAAATTATTTCGATTTGATCCCTCATCAATGTGTGTTGTTTAATTTGTTTGAATTTTTTTTTGTAATTTCATGTTTGTTCAATTTAGTCCTTCAAATTATATTTTTATCAAAATTAATCTATTTTAAAAATTGCAATTTGACGTTCATGAAAGGCGAAAATAATTAATCAAAAAATTAAAAAAATGACTCGACCTTAAGTCAATCTGTATATGGTAAGATCCGACCTAAATTTTGTCTGTCAATGATGTGACCTGATCTGAACGAGATCCGACTGAAGTCCATCCGAACCTGAGTTAACCTGGTATTTAATTGCTTCAGACATAAACTGTTTTTACCTGAACTGACATTGATCTGAATTGAAATTAACCTGACCTAAACCCGAACTGAATATGATGTCATATCAACCTGAAAATGATCCGAACTAATTTGACATGGACCCGACTTGATCTAAGTCGAACCATCAAATTGACCTGACACGACCTGTATCCGATTTTATCTTACCTGACAGGATCCGACTGAAACATGAACGATTACGTGATTTTACATCCGTATAAACAGTAGTTGAGTATGAAACAGATTATTCTGAAATATGCCAATTTACGAGCATGAGAATTTTAGCAGTCCACACTTGCAGCACAAATAAACAAATTTTAAAAAAAAAATCATCATCTGTTCAATCGTTTAGCCTATAGATTTGCCATATTTTCTGCTATTAAAAACAAAAATGAAAGGACAGCTGCACCAAAACCTGTTTGAGAAAGAATAAATAATAATGAAGTCGATTGAATAAAGAAAAGAGTAATATTCCAAAAGAATATATGGATTTGATAAATATTGGCATTTTTCATTATTAGAAAATCCCGCAATTTGAGATTGCAATCCATGCTCAACATTGTCGACGAACACGTAATTGAAATGTCTAGGTTTTTTTGTATAATTGTCGGGGTGGGGGCTTAAGATGGTGTTGCATGAGCTGTTATGTTGCTTTCCTTGTGTCGTTTAGCAACACACTCAGACGACGCCTGGAATTACTGTAACCGTGCACATGGAATCACTAGTTACTAACTG